ATATCGATACGTCACTGTGTGACCTCTCTGTACAGAAATTCAAAAATGGAGGAAGCGCTAATTTTAGCTGTAGTGCAGCGTCCTATTTTATATAATACATCTTCAATGGAAACAGGAACAGACGATATAGAGAGAGAGAGAGAGAGAGAGAGAGTGAGTACAATATAATTACTATAGACAAGTGTATTATTATTAAATTACTTAATGTTGTTCGTTATTTTATATTGATATTTTCAGATTCATTTTAAAATTAATTTTGCCCACCTCAAGAACTTATCACTGCACTCAGTCAGTCAAGACAGGGGGTGGAGTTATGAGGTTTGACTGACAGTTTGAGCGGATCCAACAAGATTTAAGGGGCGGTCACACTGCACTTTTCGTTCCATTGACTTCCATTCATACGCATGCGAATGCATCAGACCGGAAACGCAAGCTCATGCAAAAAATTTTGCATTTCGCTGCGTTCCAAAGTTCAAGTTTGGTGAACTCTGACCTGCGAATTTGCATCATGTGAAGACGTGTGACCAGTAGAAGATCGATACGTCACTGTGTGACCTCTCTGTACAGAAATTAAAAAATGGAGGAAGCGCTAATTTTAGCCGTAGTGCAGCGTCCTATTTTATATAATACATCTTCAATGGCAACAGGAACAGACGATATATATATAGAGAGAGAGTACAATATAATTACTATACACAAGTGTATTATTATTAAATTACTTAATGTTGTTCGTTATTTTATATTTATATTTTCAGAATAATTTTAACATTAATTTTGCACACCTCAAGAACTTATAAAATGACCTATTTAAAGGGAAAAACCTACAGCACTTAAAAATTGAATATACAGTATATATGTACAGTCAAACCAACATTTATTCATTAATACAGTTTATTCACTATAGTTTAAAAAAATGGTAATATGAATTAAAGAATGGAACTGTCCCAGCTCATTCCGAGTCCGTAGAATAGGGTGAACCCACAGCCTTCTCCTTTCCAGACGCTTTTGATGCCGTCGCAAAAGACACAGTACAAGCACATCGGAATCCATGTTGTGATAACTGAGGGGAAACCTTGGCACGTGATGTCATATCCTGCTCCCGCCCATATTCGCAGCAGCGTCCGAAAACATTTTGTATGTTCAAAGTCTAGTGTGACCGCCCCTTAAGGCAAGTAAAGTTCATAATTCCATCATGTTATATATTTTTTTTTTTTACTAAGAGTAAAATAATGTTTGTTTTTGTAGATGGTGGTCTCTCAGACTTGCAATAGAGGACAAAAATGAAGAGAATATTAAATATATTTATTTGTGTTCCAAAAATTATCAGAGTTTGTATGGGCTTGGAACAACACGGGGGAGAATAAATTATGACTATTTTAATTTTTTGGTGAACTAACCCTTTAAAGAGCAGCCCTCCGCGGTGCCTGATCTGTATTCATGGACTATGAAACAAACTGTAAGTGTATAATTTGTAAAAAACAAAATGTAAAATGCTTGTTCTGTGTTGTTGTTTATTAGAAATGGAGTTTACACTCTGTCATTCATACACATGTTCACATTCTTTCACACATATGTTTCTGATAAATGTTATAATATACAGGTGCATCTCAATAAACTAGAATGTCGTGGGAAAGTTCATTTATTTCAGTAATTCAACCATCCAGCTTGTAACGCACATGATATCAGTCTGCATATCCTACATGACTACTAAAAATGACAAATTATTATTATAATTATAAATGATAATTTTATTTTAAATAAAAGGAAAATAAAGTGAGTTGAATCCAAACAGCTCTAAAATATATTAGAATAGTTCTCTGCATCCTTCTGTAGGCGCTCCGCCTGTGTTTGCGGTGTTGCTTTGACCATTTAAATATGTTTATTACACAAACAAAATATTTAACGTAGTTTACTGTCTCTGGAAAAATATCAACAGTGATTGATTAGCCTTTATTTATGTATTGTAGACGTTATTACTAAGCAAAGCAAAATTTGCTGAAATATCCACAACATACAGTAAGAGCGCACAGTTTATCTGTCGATCAGATGCGCGTTGTTGCTTTCGTTACTATAGCAACAGTAGATCAAACAAATCAAACAGTCATTGTAAAAAACTACTTTCGTTATTGTAACAACGTTTGTAGATCGGGAAGAAGGAGGCGGGAACCGATGAACACAAACAAAACTTTAATAATAAAATAAACACACAATAGCATGACAGCCCCTCGCGGACGACTGTCGCGCACAAACAGAACCAAAACACAAAATAAAATCCAGGCCTGGTCCTCTCTCGTCCAACACTGTCTTCACTCCTCCTTTTATCCTTCCGGAGCTCCTCCGTGGGACTCGAGACCGGTGAGTGGTGCAGGTGTCGTGCATTAACATTTACTCCACCGGCCTCGCTCCGTTCCCACGGGGTAAGGACAGACAGACGAGGCGAGAGAAAAGGAGACGGAAGGATGAGGAGAGACAGAGACGAGAGAGGGGAGAAAGAAAAAAAAATAATAAATCTTGTTCCGATTCCAAGACACACTGACGCTCGGCCCTCCACCAGCTGGGTAAACTCTTCCGCGATGCCAGGCGGCAGCACTGGACAGCCCGCGGTGGATGGCCCGACACTCCTCCGCCGCCCGGTGGACAGCGACGGCTCCTCTGGGTTCAGGCAGCCAGCAGGAGTCCCCCGTTCCCTGCTCCTCCCCATCATGGCGGATGGCAGCAGGCTCCGGCCT